AGATACATCGCATTTTGAATGTAACGTGTAAGGCCGAATCATATATAGATCGCCATTTCAGCGCTACGTACCTCGACCCTCGAATTCGAATGCAACATAAAAAGCAAAACCAATGCATCGTTTTTCGGTAGCGGGTCTAATTATATATAATTTGTTAGACTACTCGATCAATGCACTATCTGGCCATGAAATAGTTTATTTTTACTAAAGATTGCATCATTGATCGTGAATACATGATATGCTAAGGTGCTTCGCATCCAATATTAATTTTGATACTTCGAACGAATATGTATGTATGTGATTGAGTCGTGTGACTTTATAATATTATGACGCCAGAATATCATTGCACTATAATAATAATGCTAATCTATATTTCACGAAACTCACTGTTACGTTTTCATTTAAAAATTTGTTTTTCTTTGCGGAGATAAATTTTTCGTAACATTTATTCATATAAATCATAGGATATGACAATTTACATATCAACTAATGAGCTAACAACAGTTAGTAACGTAATTTGCCTTAGTGAATAAGCAAAAATTAGGACCAATGTTGGTTAACTAGTGAATGTTAAGAATGGTTAATGAAGCATTGTCTAAAGGTAATTGGTAATATTATTGTAAATGTAAGTCATTTTGTAAATAAATTAAACGAGTTTGCAATTGGTCAGTAAATGTAAATGGCTAAAATAAACTGATCATAAATAAGCTTTATAGTATTGCAAAAGGGCCATCTTTATTTATTTACAGTGTCTGATACCATTAAGTGTGCCCACAGATTCGTCTACTAATTAATTGACAAGCACTGAATTATTGTTAATTAACTGAAATGATACCTTGCAATATCACCATTTAACAAGAATCAAAAAATTGTAAAAAGTTTATTATTTCAAAATATTATTATAATTTAGCTTTAAGAAATAAAATAAGGATGAAATAAATAAAAAGATAAAGAATAAATTTAGAGTGGAGAATTAAATTGGTCATTCATCGCATCTTTTCTTTTACTATTGTTACTAAAAATTAATTAATTAATATTATTAATAATTAATTTCAAATTTGATTAATAATAAAATTTTTATCCACCTTGTTAACATTTTAGAAAAAAGAGTTACAATCAAGATTATTTAACGAACTGTCATTACTTATATAAAATTCTAAAGCTTTTTGATTTAGCAATCTCTTCATCTAATATTCTACTTTTATGATATGCATCTGGATGTGATTTGTGTGCTTGTTGCAAAGCACTAC